CTAAACCCACCCCAAACCCATCCTAAACCTCCCAAACCCACCCCAAACCTCCCAAACCCACCCCAAACCCATCCTAAACCTCCCAAACCCACCCCAAATCTCCCAAAACCCAACCCAACCCTCCCCAAACCCACCCTAAATCACCCCAAATCCATCTCAAACCCGCTAAAACCACCCCAAACCTGCCCCAAAACCCCCAAACCCACCCCAAACCCATCCTAAACTTCCCAAACCCACCCCAAAACCCCTCAAACCCACCCCAAAACCAGCTCAAACCCATCCTAACCCCATCCTAAACCTCCCAAAACTCACTCCAAACCTCCTAAACCCAGCCCAAATCCCCCCAAACCCAACCCAAATCCCCCCAAACCCACCCTAAACCCACTCCAAACCTCCTCAAACCCCCCTAAACCCCACCCCAAGTCCCCCTAAACCCACCCCAAACCCATCCTAAACTTCCCAAACCCACCCCAAACCCATCCTAACCCCATCCTAACCTCCCAAACCCACCGCAAACCCCATCCTAACATCCCAAACCCCACCCCAAACCTCCCAAACCCACCCCCAAACCCATCCTAAACCCCCAACCCACCCCCAAATCTCCAACACCCAACCCAACCCTCCCCAAACCCACCCTAAATCACCCCCACAACCACTCAAACCCGCTAACCACCCAACCACCCCAAACCCCCCAACCCCCCAAACCCCAACCCCACCCCAAACCCACCCCAACCCAACCCCCAAACCCCCCCAAACCCACCCCTCACCACCACCCCATCCTAACCCCATCCTAAACTCCCAAAACCCACTCCAAACCCTCCTAAACCCAGCCCAAATCCCCCAAACCCACCCCAAATCCCCCCAAACCCACCCTAAACCCACTCCAAACCTCCTCAAACCCCCCTAAACCCACCCCAAGTCCCCCTAAACCCACCCCAAACCCATCCTAAACTCCCAAACCCACCCCAAACCCATCCTAACCCCCATCCTAAACCTCCCAAACCCACCGCAAACCCATCCTAAACTTCCCAAACCCACCCCAAAACCCCTCAAACCCACCCCAAACCCAGCTCAAACCCATCCTAACCCCATCCTAAACCTCCCAAAACCCACTCCAAACCTCCTAAACCCAGCCCAAATCCCCCCAAACCCAACCCAAATCACTCCAAACCCACCCTAAACCCACCCCCAAACCTCCCAAACCCCCCTAAACCCACCCCAAATCCCCCTAAACCCACCCCAAACCCATCCTAAACTTCCCAAACCCAGCCCAAACCCATCCTAACCCCATCCTAAACCTCCCAAAATCCACTCCAAACCTCCTAAACCCACCTCAAATCCCCCCTAAACCCACCCCAAATCCCCCTAAACCCACCGCAAACCCATCCTAAACCTCCCAAACCCACCCCAAATCTCCCAAAACCCAACCCAACCCTCCCCAAACCCACCCTAAACCCACCCCAAACCCATCTCAAACCCGCTAAAACCACCCCAAACCCTCCCCAAACCTGCCCCAAAACCCCCAAACCCACCCCAAACCCATCCTAAACTTCCCAAACCCACCCCAAACCCATCCTAAACTTCCCAAACCCACCCCAAACCCATCCTAAACTTCCCAAACCCACTCCAAACCCATCCTAAACCTCCCAAACCCACCGCAAACCCATCCTAAACATCCCAAACCCACCCCAAAACCTCTCAAACCCACCCCAAACCCAGCTCAAACCCATCCTAACCCCATCCTAAACCTCCCAAAACCCACTCCAAACCTCCTAAACCCAGCCCAAACCCAGCCCAAATCCCCCCTAAACCCACCCCAAATCCCCCCTAAACCCACCGCAAACCCATCCTAAACATCCCAAACCCACCCCAAAACCATCCTAACCCCATCCTAAACCTCCCAAAACCCACTCCAAACCTCCTAAACCCAGCCCAAACCCAGCCCAAATCCCCCTAAACCCACCCCAAATCCTCCTAAACCCACCGCAAATCCTCCCTAAACCTCCCAAACCCACCCCAAATCTCCCAAAACCCAACCCAACCCTCCCCGATCCCACCCTAAACCCACCCCAAACCCATCTCAAACCCGCTAAAACCACCCCAAACCCTCCCCAAACCTGCTCCAAAACCCCCAAACCCACTCCAAACCCATCCTAAACTTCCCAAACCCACCCCAAAACCCCTCAAACCCACCCCAAACCCAGCTCAAACCCATCCTAACCCCATCCTAAACCTCCTAAAACCCACTCCAAACCTCCTAAACCCAGCCCAAACCCAGCCCAAATCCCCCCTAAACCCACCTCAAATCCCCCCTAAACCCACCCCAAATCCCCCTAAACCCACCGCAAACCCTCCCTAAACCCACTCCAAACCTCCCAAACCCACCGCAAACCCATCCTAAACCTCCCAAACCCACCCCAAATCTCCCAAAACCCAACCCAACCCTCCCCAAACGCCCCCAAAACCCACCCTAAACCCACCCCAAACCCCCCCAAACGCCCCCTAACCCCTAATCCCGGCCTAAGCCCGGGTTTAACCCCTTCCTTCCCTCCCTCCCCGTGCCCGGCGCCGTTGGAAACACCCGCTGGGTTTTTATTAAAGTAGGAAAGTTTCGCTTCTTTGCGGCCGCGGCGAATTAAAAAATTCCCCCCCCCGGCCCCTCCCCCACCCGCCCCTCCCCCACCCCGACCCCGACCCCCCCCCCTCCTTTTGCACTTCCGGTCCCCTCCCCCGCCCCCGTTTTTGGGGTCCCCCCCCCGGTTTTGGGGTGAAATTTGGGGGTTTTGGGTCCAAAGTTTGGGATTTTTGCGGTCAAATTTTGGGGGTTTTGGGGTCAAATTTTGGGGGTTTCGGGGTGAAATTTTGGGATTTTTGGGGTCCAAATTTGGGGCTGGGGGCGTTTCTTGAATGGGGGAGGGTTGGGGGGTCCCCGCCCCCTATTTTTTTTTGGGGGATCCCCCTCATTTTAGGGGTGTCCCCCCCAATTTTTCCTCCATTTTGGGGGCGCCCAAACCTTAATTTGGGGAGGGTCCCAAACCCCAATTTTTGGGGGGCTCCAAGTTTTAATATTGGGGGGGGGGGGGGTCCCAAACCCAAAGTTTGGGGGTTCCCATCGTATTTTGGGGGGGGTCCCCACATTCCCCCCCTTATTTTTGGGGGGGTTTCAACACCGAGTCCGCAAGGGGGGGGGGGGGTCCCGCACCCCAAATTTTTTTTGGGGGGGGGGGTCAGCTCCAAGTCCGTGGTTTTTGGGGGGTCCCACCCCCATTTTTGGGGGGCTCCTCTTCATCTCCGCAGGTCAGGGGGGGTCCCGCACCCCAAATTTTTTGGGGGAGGCAGCAACAGGTCCAAAGTTCAGGGGGGTCTCGCACCCCAAATTTTTGAGGGGGGTCCAGCTCCAGGTCCGTGGTTTTGGGGGGTCCAACCCCCATTTTTGGGGGGTTCCCCCTCCCATTTTTGGGGGTCTTCATCTCCAAGTCCACAGTTCAGGGATTGGGGGGGGTCCCCCCTAATTTTTGGGGGGGGGTCTCCCCCATTTTTGGGGTTTTCCATCTCATCCAACATCGATTTAGGGTGGGGGGTCCCCAATTTTTTGGGGTTTCCTTCAGGTCCGCAGGTCCGGGGGGTGCCCCTAAATTTTTGGGGGGTTCCCCTAAATTTTTTGGGGGGGTCCCCCCACATTTTTAGGGGTTCTCCATAATTTTTAAAGGTTTTCCCCATTTTTAGGGGTTTTTTTCCCCCTTTTTTTAAAGGGTTTTCTCCATTTTTTTAGGGTTTCCCCCACATTTTTGGGTTTTTTTTTCTCCCATATCTTTTGGGGTGGTTTCCCACATTTTTTGGGGGATTTTTCGCCACATTTTTTGGGGTTTCCTCCACATTTTTGGGGGGATTTTCCTCCACATTTTCCCACTCTTTCCCTCTACATTTTTTAGGATTCCCTTCATCATTTTTAAGGTTTCACCCATAATTTTTCACAGCATTTTTCCCACATTTTTGGGGGATTTTCCACCCATTTTTTAGGATTTTCCCCCCACTTTTGGGGGATGTTTTCCCCATATTTCTCACAGTTTTCCCCACATTTTTCAGGAGTTTTCCCCACATTTTTTAGGGCTTTTCCCCCACATTTTTGGGTTTTCTCCCCCCTCCTTTCCAGGAGTATTTCCCCACATTTTCGGGTGATTTTCCCACTCATTTTTTGGGTGATTTTCCTCCACATTTTTTAGGACTTTCCCCCCCCATTTTTTGGTGATTTCCCTCCACATTTTGGGTGATTTTCCTCCAAATTTTTTTAGAAAATTCCCCCACATTTTTCAGAATCCTCCTTCCCATTTTTTAGGAGTTTCCCCCATTTTTTCCCGGCGTCTCCCCGACATTTTTTTTTTCCCCTCCATTTTTTAGGAGTTTCCCCCACATTTTTTGGGGAATTTTCCTCCACTTTTTTTTTTTTTAAGTTTCCCCCCATTTTTTTAGGAGTTTCCTCTCCATTTTTGGAGGTTTTCCTCCACACTTTGTAGGAGTCTCTCCAATTTTTTTAAGGAGTCTCCTCCAATTTTTTTTCTCACATTTTTAAGAGTCTCCCCCATTTTATCTCAGCATCTCCCCCAATTTTTTTTTTGGAGATTCCCCCACATTTTTTCCAGCGTCTTCCCCCATTTTTTAGTGTTTTCCCCCCACATTTTTGGGGTTTTCCCTCCTTTTTTCCACACATTTTTTAGGGCTTTTCCCCCACATTTTTGGGGTATTCCCCCCCTCCTTTCCACCAGTTTTTCCACACATTTTTCAGGACTTTCCCCCCACATTTTCGGGGTGTTTTCCCCCATTTCCTCACCACCTCCCCCACTCCTCCACCTCCACCCCGCAAAGTCTCCCCCACTTGCTTATTTTCCCCTTTTCTCCCCCAAAATTTTTGTTTTTCCTTTCCCGGCTGGATTTTTTCAGGGAGTTTTGGGGGGGAAGTCCAAGGGCTGATTGGGGGGGGGTTCCATTCCAACCCCCCCCCCTCCCCAAAATCTCAGATCTGCGTCTCCTGCACGTTCTCCTTGGAGGGGCTCTTGAAGAGCAGCGGCTCGTGCACCGAGTTGAGCAGCGGCGTCTTCCCGCAGCCCAGCGCCGCCGCCGGGCCCCCGTAGTGGGCGGCCAACGCCGCGTACCTGTCCAGGTGCTCCCTCTCCAACGCCGGCAACGCCAGCCGGTTGTCCCCGCCCGTCCCGGCGCCGCCTCCGCCGGGGCCGCCGCCGCCTCCGCCGCCGCCGGCGGGACCCCCGGCCAGCTCGTCCTCGACGTTGACGATCTCGACGGCGCGCGCGGGGCCGCCGCGGTGCTTGTGGCGCTGGTGCTGCTTGCGGAGCTTGTAGAAGGCCACCAGCATGACGGCGGCCATGAAGGTGATGGCCACGAAGCAGCCGATGATGATCTTGGTGGTCTTCAAGACGTCGTCCAAATCTTGGAGACCTCCTCCGGCCGCCGCGCCGGCCGCCGCCGCCGTGATGGGCACGGTGAAGGGTTTGCCGGTGGCGCGCGTGGCCGGGGCGGCCGTGGAGGCGCCGGCCGGGTCCCAACCGGCCGCCGTGGGCGCCGCGGGGGTTTGCGGGGCTTGGTCGTCGCCGCCGGCGCCCTCGGTGGTCTCCACGGTGACCGTGGTGAAGTAGGTGTAACCGGTGGCCGCCGCCGCCGCCGCCGCGGCCGCGGCGGCGTCGGCGGCCGAGACGTTGAGCGTGGCGGTGGCCGTGGTGTTGCCGGCGGCGTTGGTGACCATGCAGGTGTACTGGCCGGTGTCCTGCACGGTGACGTTGGTGAAGTTGAGCGTGCCGTCGTGCAGCACCGAGATGCGCACGCGGTACGAGCCGTGCGTCATCAGCGTCCCGTTGGGCGTCAGCCAGTTGACCGAGGTCATGGCCGTGCCCGTGCGGCACTTGAGCTCGGCCGCCATGCCCTCGGTGACGTTGAGGTCGGCCGGCGGCTCCACGATGACGGGCGCGTAGCAGGTGAAGTGGCCGGGCTCCAGCTCGCCCAGGTAGCGGCCGCGCAGCGCGGGCGGCGCGTGGCAGCGGGCGCAGCAGCTGGTGTTGCTGGGCACGGTCTCGCGCAGCCACCAGCTGAGCCACAGCACGTCGCAGTCGCAGCGCCAGGGGTTGTGGTGCAGGTGCACGCGCTCCAGCCGGTGCAGCGGCGCGAACAGGTCGTGGGGCAGCGAGGCCAGGTCGTTGTGGGCCAGGTTGAGCTCCTCCAGAGCCTTCAGGTCGTCGAAGGCGTTGCGCTCCACCGCCGCCACCCGCGCGTGCATCAGCCACAGCTTCCTCAGGCTGCCCAAGCCTTGGAACGAGCCCGGCCGCACCCGGCCCAGGCGGTTCCCCGACAGCTCCAGCTCCTCCAGCCTCACCAGCGCCGTCAGGTTGGGGATCTCCTTGAGGTTGCACATGCCTGCAGGGGGGCACAGGATGGGTTAATAAAGGTGGTACAGAATGTAATCTTATCACCTAAAGATAATCCTTGCAATATAATGATAATGGAACTCTTGATATGAGATAACAAATGGTGATCCCGTCGTGGCTTGGGAGAAAAAGGATTTGGGACTAAACCATATTGCCCCATGGATTTGGGGAAACAGGATTTGACCATATAACCCGAGGATTCGAGGAAACCTGATTTGACCACAAAACACATGGATTCGGGGAAACAGGATTTGACCATATAACCCCGTGGATTTGGGGAAATCAAATTTGACCATATAACCCCACGGATTCAGGGAAACAGGATTTGACCATATAACCCCGTGGATTTGGGGAAACCGGATTTGACCATAAAACCCGAGGATTCGGGGAAACCTGATTTGACCACAAAACACATGGATTCGGGGAAACAGGATTTGACCATATAACCCCGTGGATTTGGGGAAATCAAATTTGACCATATAACCCCGTGGATTTGGGGAAAACAGGATTTGACCATATAACCCCATGGATTCTGGGAAACAGGTTTTGACCCTATAACCCCGTGGATATGGGAAAACTGGATTTGACCATAAAACCCGTGGATTCGGGGAAACCTGATTTGACCACAAAACACATGGATTTGGGGAAACAGGATTTGACCATATAACCCCACGGATTCAGGGAATCAGGATTTGACCATATAACCCCGTGGTTTTGGGGAAACCAGATTTGACCATATAACCCCGTGGATTTGGGGTAGCAGGATTTGACCATATAACCCTGTGGATTTGGGGAAAACAGGATTTGACCATTTAACCCTGTGGATTCAGGGAAACAGGACTGGAGTACTAAACTATTGGCAAAATATCTCAATTCCAGCTCTTGGTGTTTGTTAAATATAAGAGTAAAAAACCTTAAAGATAAATGCTTTGTAAACTGGAAAAAGCTCTGGTGATACGGAATCCTTGAGCTATAACGATAACAGAACTCTTGATAAATAAGAAACCAAATGGAGACCCCGATGTGATTCGGGAGATAAAGGATTCGGGACTAAACTATTGCCCCGTGGATTTGGGACTAAACTCCATCGCCCTGTGGAATCCTTGCACTACAATGATAACAGAACTCCTGACAGATAAGCCAACACATGCCCAGGTTGAGGTAGCGCAGGTTGACCAGGCCCTCGAAGGCGGCCTCGGAGATGTACTCGAGGCGCTTGAGCTCGCCCAGGTCGAGGCGGCGCAGCGAGGGCACGCGGTTGAAGGCGTAGCTGGGGATGCTCTCGATGGGGTTGTTCCTCAGCCAGAGCTCGCGGAGCTTGGACAGGTACTCGAAGGCCTGCGTGGGCACCGTGGTCAGGCGGTTGTCGAAGAGCTCCAGCGTGTTGAGGTTGGGCAGCCCGTTGAAGGCGCCCACCTCCACCTTGCGCACCAGGTTGCGGCTGAGCTGGAGGATCTCCAGGTGGCGAAGGTGCTTGAAGGTGTCGGTGCGGATCACCTGCGGAGGGGAGGTAATTAGTTGGTAATTGCAATCGGGGAGAAGCAGCAAAGGTTGGTTCGTTTCGCAATTTTAATTAAGGGAAACCAAAGGGTTGGTTGGGTTGGTAATTGGAATTAGGGAGAAGCGGTGAGGATTGGTTGGTTTCATAATTGTAATTAGGGAGAAGAAGCAAAGATTGGTTGGCACCAAAAACTTGTTGGTTTGGTAACTGTAATTAGGGAGAAGCAGCGTAGATAGGTTCGTTTCCTAATTTTAATTAAGGAGAACCAAAGGTTGGTTGGGTTGGTAATTGTAATTAAGGAGAACAAAAGGTTGGTTCCTTTTGTCATTATAATTGAGGAGAAGCACCAAAGGTTGGTTCATTTTGTAATTGCAATTAGGGAGACGCAGTGAAGTTTTGGCTCATTTTGTAATTTTAATTAAGGAAAACCAAAGGTTGGTTGGGTTGGTAATTGGAATTAGGGGGAAGCGGTGAGGATTGGTTGGTTTCATAATTGTAATTAGGGAGAAGAAACAAATATTGGTTGGCACCAAAAACTTGTTGGTTTGGTAACTGTAATTAGGGAGAAGCAGCGTAGATTGGTTCATTTCATAATTTTAATTAAGAAGAACCAAAGATTGGTTGGTTTGGTAATTGTAATTAGGGAGAAGCAGCGAAGGTTTGTTTGTTTTGTAATTTTAATTAAGAAGAACCAAAGGTTGGTTGGGTTGGTAATTGTAATTAAGGAGAACAAAAGGTTGGTTCCTTTTGTCATTATAATTGAGGAGAAGCACCAAAGGTTGGTTCATTTCGTAATTGCAATTAGGGAGACGCAGTGAAGTTTGGCTCATTTCGTAATTTTAATTAAGGAAAACCAAAGGTTGGTTGGGTTGGTAATTGGAATAAGCGAGAAGCGGTGAGGATTGGTTGGTTTCATAATTGTAATTAGGGAGAAGAAACAAATATTGGTTGGCACCAAAACCTGGTTGGTTTGGCAATTGTAATTAGGGAGAAGCAGCGTAGATTGGTTCATTTCATAATTTTAATTAAGAAGAACCAAAGGTTGGTTGGGTTGGTAATTGGGATTAGGGAGGAGCAGCGAGGATTGGTTGGTTTTGAAATTTTAATTAAGGGGAAGCACCAAAGGCTGGTTGGTTTGGTAACTGGGATTAAGGAGAACCAAAGGTTGGCTCGCTTTGTAATTATAATTATGGAGAACCACTAAAAGTTGGCTGGTTTGGTAATTTTAATTAAGGAGAACCAAGGGTTGGTTGATTTGGTAATGGTAATTAAGGAGAACCAACAAAGATTGGCATGTTTTGTAATAATTAACGAGAAGCACCAAAGGTTGCCTCATTTGGTAATTTTAATTAAAGAGAACCACCAAAGTTTGGCCCCTTTCGTAATTTTAATTAAGGAGGACCACCAAAGGTTGGTTGGTTTGGTAATTGTAATTAGGGAGAAGAAGTGAAGATTGGTTCATTTCATAATTGTAATTAAGGAGAACCAACAAAGGTTGGTTTCATAATTATAATTAAGGAGAACCACCAAAGGTTGGTTGGTTTGGTAACTGTAATTAAGGAGAAGCACCAAAAGCTGGTTTCGTAATTATAATTAAGGAGAAGCACCAAAGGTGGTCTCGTTTTGTAACTATAATTAAGGAGAACCAAAGATTGGTTGGTTTGGTAATTGTAATTAGGGAGAAGCAGCGAGAATTGGCTTCTTTTGTCATTTTAATTAAGGAGAAGCACCAAAGATTGGTTGGCACCAATGATTGGTTTGTTTAGTAATTAAGGAGAAGAAGCAAAGATTGGTTGGGTTGGTAACTGTAACTAGGGAAAAGCAGCGTAGGTTGGTTCATTTTGTAATTTTAATTAGGAGGACCACCAAAGGTTCGTTGGTTTGGTAATTTTAATTAAGGAGAACCAAGGGTTGGTTGGTTTGGTAATTGTAATTAGAGAGAAGCACCAAAGGTTGGTTGGATTTGTAACTATAATTAAGGAGAACCAAAGGTTGGTTGATTTGGTAATGGTAATTAAGGAGAACCAACAAAGACTGGCATATTTTCCCTAATTAATTAACAAGAAGCACCAAATGTTGGTTCGTTTGGTAATTTTAATTAAGGAGAACCACCAAAGATTGGTTGGTTTGGTAATTGTAATTAAGACGAACCAAAGGTTGGTTCATTTTCTAGTTATAATTAAGGAAAACCAAAGTTTGATTGGTTTGGTAAATAATTAGAATTAAGGTGAACCACCAAAGGTCGGTTTTGTAATTATAATTAAGGAGAAGCACCAAAGGTTGGCTCGTTTGGTAATTGTAATTAAGGAGAAGAACCAAAGATTGATTGGCTTGGTAATTGTAATTAAGGAGAACTAAAGGTTGGTTCATTTCGTAATTTTAATTAAGAAGAAGAACCAAAAGTTGGCTGGTTTGGTAATTGTAATTAAGGAGAAACACCAAAGATTGGTTGGTTTGGTAATTTTAATTAAGGAGAAGCACCAAAGGTTGGTTTCATAATTATAATTAAGGAGCAGCAAAGATTGGTTGGTTTGGTAATTTTAATTATGAAGAACCAAAGGTTGGTTCCTTTTGTAATTCTAATTAGGGACAACAACCAAGCATTGGTTGGTTTGGTAATTACAATTAAGCAGAATCACCAAATAAGTGTTTTTCTTCTGGAGAAGTTTCCATAATATTAATAATAAAAATTAATAATGAATAATTTATTCGTGTGGACTTCAGCACCCATTTTACTACTCTAGCACAGACTTTCACACTTTAGCAGGAACTTTGATATTTTAGGACAGACTTTAATACTTTAGCACGGATTTAATACTTCAGCACAGACTTAAATATTTTAGCCCAGACTTTAATACTTCAGCACGAATTTTAGCACAGACGTTAATACTTTAGCACAGATTTTAGTATTTTGGTACATAGTTTAGCACAGGCTTTAAAACTTTAGCACGGGCTTTAATATTTTACCCCAGAGTTTAGCACGGACTTTAATACTTTAGCACGGGCTTTAATACTCTAGCACAGAGTTTAGCATGGACTTTAATACTCTGGCACAGACTTTAATACTCTGGCACAGATTTTAGGCCAGATTTTAATATTTTGGTACATTGTTTAGCACAGGCTTTAATACTTTAGCACGGACTTTAGCATGGACTTTAATACTTTAGCATGGGTTTAGTACTCTAGCATGGACTTCAATACTTCAGCATGGACTTTGACTCTTTATTATTTTAATATTTTAGCACAGAGTTTAGCACGGACTTCAATGTCTTAGCACGGACTTTAGCACAGACTTTGACACTTTAGCGTGGACTTTAGCACGGGTTTTAATACTTTAGCATGGATTTAATACTCCAGCACAGACTTTAGCACAGACGTTAATACTTTAGCATGGATTTTAGCACAGACGTTAATACTTTAGCACAGATTTTAGTATTTTGGTACATAGTTTAGCACAGGCTTTAAAACTTTAGCACGGGCTTTAATATTTTACCCCAGAGTTTAGCACGGACTTTAATACTTTAGCATGGACTTTAATACTCTAGCATGAACTTTAGGACGGGCTTGAACACTTCAGCACGGACCCGAAAACTTTAGCACGGACTTAAACACAGATTTTAATACTTTAGCATGGGCTTTAATACTCTAGCACAGAGTTTAGCATGGACTTTAATACTCTGGCACAGACTTTAATACTCTGGCACAGATTCTAGGCCAGATTTTAATATTTTGGTACATTGTTTAGCACAGGCTTTAATACTTTAGCACGGACTTTAGCATGGACTTTAATACTTTAGCATGGGTTTAGTACTCTAGCATGGACTTCAATACTTCAGCATGGACTTTGACTCTTTATTATTTTAATATTTCAGCACAGAGTTTAGCACGGACTTCAATGTCTTAGCACGGACTTTAGCACAGACTTTGACACTTTAGCGTGGACTTTAGCACGGGTTTTAATACTTTAGCATGGATTTAATACTTTAGCACCGACTTTAGCACAGACGTTAATACTTTAGCATGGATTTTAGCACAGACGTTAATACTTTAGCACAGATTTTAGTATTTTGGTACATAGTTTAGCACAGGCTTTAAAACTTTAGCACGGGCTTTAATATTTTACCCCAGAGTTTAGCACGGACTTTAATACTTTAGCATGGACTTTAATACTCTAGCATGAACTTTAGGACGGGCTTGAACACTTCAGCACAGACCCGAAAACTTTAGCACGGACTTAAACACAGATTTTAATACTTTAGCACGGGCTTTAATACTCTAGCACAGAGTTTAGCATGGACTTTAATACTCTGGCACAGACTTTAATACTCTGGCACAGATTTTAGGCCAGATTTTAATATTTTGGTACATTGTTTAGCACAGGCTTTAATACTTTAGCACGGACTTTAGCATGGACTTTAATACTTTAGCATGGGTTTAATACTCTAGCATGGACTTCAATACTTCAGCATGGACTTTGACTCTTTATTATTTTAATATTTTAGCACAGAGTTTAGCACGGACTTCAATATCTTAGCACGGACTTTAGCACAGACTTTGACACTTTAGCGTGGACTTTAGCACGGGTTTTAATACTTTAGCACGGATTTAATACTTTAGCACCGACTTTAGCACAGACGTTAATACTTTAGCACGGATTTAATACTTTAGCACCGACTTTAGCACAGACGTTAATACTTTAGCATGGATTTAATACTTTAGCACCGACTTTAGCACAGACGTTAATACTTTAGCATGGATTTTAGCACAGACATTAATACTTTAACACAGATTTTAGTATTTTGGTACATAGTTTAGCACAGGCTTTAATACTTTAGCACGGGCTTTAATATTTTACCCCAGAGTTTAGCACGGACTTTAATACTTTAGCACGGGCTTTAATACTCTAGCACAGAGTTTAGCATGGACTTTAATACTCTGGCACAGACTTTAATACTCTGGCACAGATTTTAGGCCAGATTTTAATATTTTGGTACATAGTTTAGCACAGGCTTTAATACTTTAGCACGGACTTTAGCATGGACTTTAATACTTTAGCATGGGTTTAATACTCTAGCATGGACTTCAATACTTCAGCATGGACTTTGACTCTTTATTATTTTAATATTTTAGCACAGAGTTTAGCACGGACTTCAATGTCTTAGCACGGACTTTAGCACAGACTTTGACACTTTAGCGTGGACTTTAGCACGGGTTTTAATACTTTAGCATGGATTTAATACTTTAGCACCGACTTTAGCACAGACGTTAATACTTTAGCATGGATTTTAGCACAGACGTTAATACTTTAACACAGATTTTAGTATTTTGGTACATAGTTTAGCACGGGCTTTAAAACTTTAGCACGGGCTTTAATATTTTACCCCAGAGTTTAGCACGGACTTTAATACTTTAGCACGGGCTTTAATACTCTAGCACAGAGTTTAGCATGGACTTTAATACTCTGGCACAGACTTTAATACTCTGGCACAGATTTTAGGCCAGATTTTAATATTTTGGTACATTGTTTAGCACAGGCTTTAATACTTTAGCACGGACTTTAGCATGGACTTTAATACTTTAGCATGGGTTTAATACTCTAGCATGGACTTTAGTACTTCAGGACGGACTTTGACTCTTTATTATTTTAATATTTTAGCACAGAGTTTAGCACGGACTTCAATGTCTTAGCACGGACTTTAGCACAGACTTTGACACTTTAGCGTGGACTTTAATACTTTAGCATGGACTTTAGCACGGGTTTTAATACTTTAGCACGGATTTAATACTTTAGCACCGACTTTAGCACAGACGTTAATACTTTAGCATGGATTTTAGCACAGACGTTAATACTTTAGCACAGATTTTAGTATTTTGGTACATAGTTTAGCACAGGCTTTAATACTTTAGCACGGGCTTTAATATTTTACCCCAGAGTTTAGCACGGACTTTAATACTTTTGCATGGATTTAATACTTTAGCCCAGACTTTCATATTTTAGCATGGACTTTAGCACAGACTTTAATACTTCAGCACGAATTTTAGCACAGGCGTTATTACTTTAGCACAGATTTTAATATTTTGGTACATAGTTTAGCACAGGCTTTAATACTTTAGCACGGACTTTAGCATGGGCTTTAATACTTTAGCATGGGTTTAATACTCTAGCATGGACTTTAGTACTTCAGGACGGACTTTGACTCTTTATTATTTTAATATTTTAGCACAGAGTTTAGCACGGACTTCAATGTCTTAGCACGGACTTTAGCACAGACTTTGACACTTTAGCGTGGACTTTAGCACGGGTTTTAATACTTTAGCGTGGATTTAATACTTTAGCACCGACTTTAGCACAGACGTTAATACTTTAGCATGGATTTTAGCACAGACATTAATACTTTAACACAGATTTTAGTATTTTGGTACATAGTTTAGCACAGGCTTTAAAACTTTAGCACGGGCTTTAATATTTTACCCCAGAGTTTAGCACGGACTTTAATACTTTAGCACGGGCTTTAATACTCTAGCACAGAGTTTAGCATGGACTTTAATACTCTGGCACAGACTTTAATACTCTGGCACGGATTTTAGGCCAGATTTTAATATTTTGGTACATTGTTTAGCACAGGCTTTAATACTTTAGCACGGACTTTAGCATGGACTTCAATACTTCAGCATGGACTTTGACTCTTTATTATTTTAATATTTCAGCACAGAGTTTAGCAAGGACTTCAATATCTTAGCACGGACTTTAGCACAGACTTTGACACTTTAGCGTGGACTTTAGCACGGGTTTTAACACTTTAGCACGGATTTAATACTTTAGCACCGACTTTAGCACAGACGTTAATACTTTAGCATGGATTTTAGCACAGACGTTAATACTTTAGCACAGATTTTAGTATTTTGGTACATAGTTTAGCACAGGCTTTAAAACTTTAGCACGGGCTTTAATATTTTACCCCAGAGTTTAGCACGGACTTTAATACTTTAGCATGGACTTTAATACTCTAGCACAGAGTTTAGCATGGACTTTAATACTCTGGCACAGACTTTAATACTCTGGCACAGATTTTAGGCCAGATTTTAATATTTTGGTACATAGTTTAGCACAGGCTTTAATACTTTAGCATGGACTTTAATATTTTACCCCAGAGTTTAGCACGGACTTTAATACTTTTGCATGGATTTAATACTTTAGCCCAGACTTTCCTATTTTAGCATGGACTTTAGCACAGACTTTAATACTTCAGCACGAATTTTTGCACAGGCGTTATTACTTTAGCACAGATTTTAATATTTTGGTACATAGTTTAGCACAGGCTTTAATACTTTAGCATGGACTTTAATACTTTAGCATGGGTTTAATACTCTAGCATGGACTTCAATACTTCAGCATGGACTTTGACTCTTTATTATTTTAATATTTCAGCACAGAGTTTAGCACGGACTTCAATGTCTTAGCACGGACTTTAGCACAGACTTTGACACTTTAGCATGGACTTTAGCACGGGTTTTAATACTTTAGCGTGGATTTAATACTCCAGCACCGACTTTAGCACAGACGTTAATACTTTAGCATGGATTTTAGCACAGACATTAATACTTTAACACAGATTTTAGTATTTTGGTACATAGTTTAGCACAGGCTTTAATACTTTAGCACGAGCTTTAATATTTTACCCCAGAGTTTAGCACGGACTTTAATACTTTAGCATGGACTTTAATACTCTAGCATGAACTTTAGGACGGGCTTGAACACTTCAGCACGGACCCGAAAACTTTAGCACGGACTTAAACACAGATTTTAATACTTTAGCACGGGCTTTAATACTCTAGCACAGAGTTTAGCATGGACTTTAATACTCTGGCACAGACTTTAATACTCTGGCACAGATTCTAGGCCAGATTTTAATATTTTGGTACATTGTTTAGCACAGGCTTTAATACTTTAGCATGGACTTTAATACTTTAGCATGGGTTTAGTACTCTAGCATGGACTTTAGTACTTCAGGACGGACTTTGACTCTTTATTATTTTAATATTTTAGCACAGAGTTTAGCATGGACTTCAATGTCTTAGCACGGACTTTAGCACAGACTTTGACACTTTAGCGTGGATTTAATACTTTAGGACAGACTTTAGCAAGGACTTTAATACTTTGGCACAGATTTTGGGTCAGACTTTAATTAATACCTTAGCGCAGACTTCAGCACGGGTTTTAATACTTTAGGCCAGACAGAAATTAATAATTAAGCACAGATTTAATACTTTAGCATGGACTTTAATATTTTAGCACACAGTTTAGCACGGATTTAATACTTTAGCATAGACTTGACACTGCAGCACAAAATTTAATATTTTAGCACCAACTTTAGCACGGATTTAATACTTTAGCACAGACTTTAATGCTTGAGCATGGATTTTAATACTTCAGCACTGATTTTAATACTTCAGCATCAACTTTAGCACAGGCTTTAATACTTTAGCACGGATTTAATTAAAAATACTAAAAGATATAAATATTAAATTATTAAAATAATGAAACATTAAAATATTGAAACCACTAGAAGTACAAAAATACAAGAAAATTAAAAGACTAAAATGCTAAGTCACACAAATATTAAAACACAAAAATGCAAAAGTACAAAAATGTTAAAAATGGTAAAGGCAGTACAAAGACGGAAATAATAAATCACACAAATATTAAAGTATTAAAGTACTAAAATATTAAATTACACAAATACTAAAATAGTAAAATAGTAAAATACACAAATATTAAAAATACAAAAGTAGAAGAAAATGAAAACATTAAAATATTAAAATAGCAAAATATTAAATTTCACAAATATTAAAATGTTAAAATACTGAAGTATGAAAATACACAAATATGAAACTTAAAAATAATACAGATATTTTTAAATAGTAAAAAATTAAAAATAAGTAATAAAAATACTACAAATCAAAATACTAACAATACAAAAAAATTTAAAGCATGAAATTATTTTTTAAATTACAAATATCTTAGAGAATTAACCCTTTCCTCCCCAGTCAGTCCCACCTGGATGTGGATTCTCCTGCAGGTTCAGGTAATGAAATTAACCCTTTCCCCCCCCTCCATGTGTTCTGGAGAATTTTCTCTAAAAATATTCAAAATACCAAAAATATTCAAAATATTTTAATTAATGAACCCTTTCAGACCTGGATGTGGTTCTCCTGCAGGTTCAGGTAGCGCGTGGTGACCGAGATGCTCTGCGGCACCTCCAGCAGATTGAAATTATTGTAAACATTTATTGAAATTATAGTAAAAATATTTATTTAAAATTCCAATTAAAATTTTATTAATAAAAAAATTAGAAATTTAAAAATTCGAATACTAAAATATATTCATATTAAAATACTGAAATAAAAATATTACAATATTGACAATGTTTAAAATATCAATATATTTTAAAAATCACTGTTAGAAATATCAAAAGTTTTTAAAATATGGAAATATAAAAAACCATTTAAAATATTTAAGAATTTAAAATACATAAATATTAAAAATATTAAAATTTTTAAAATACAAAATTATTTAAAAATAATAATGTTTTAAATGCAACAATTGTAAAAATATTAAAACATTACGAATTTGTAAAATATGTAAAATAGTAAAAAAATTAAAAATAAATAAAATATTAAAAATACTAAAAATAGTACAAATATTTTCTAAAATTAACCCTTTCCCCGCCATGCCCCGAGAACATTAAAAATATGAATAATATTCAAAATATATTTTAGAATTAACCCTTTCTCCCCCAGTACGTCCCACAGAATTCTCTCTAAAAATATCCTAAATATCAAAATATTAAAAAAAAAAATATTTAAAATCTTTTATTAACCCTTTCAGACCTGGATGTGGTTCTTCTGCAGGTTCAGGTAGCGCGTGGTGACCGAGATGCTCTGCGGCACCTCCAGCAGCTCGCGCATTGAAATATTTTAAATATTCAAATTTAAAACTTCTAATAAAATATTTTATTAATTAAAAAAATTAAGAAACTAAAAATATATTCGTTTTAAAATACTCAAATACAAAAAAAAGTATTCAAATATTATACATACTTAAAAATTAAAATATTGAAAACATCAAAATATTAGAAATATCAAAAATTTTAAAAATACAGAAATCTTTAAAAATTTAAAATATTAAAACTTTTAAAACACAAAAGTGTTAAAATACTAAAAATATTAAAAATATTTTTAAAAATATAGAACTATTTGAAATATTAAGAACAATAAAATACGTAAAATGTATCAAATATGCAAAATACTTAAATTATGAAAAAATTTGTACTACATGAAAATATTAAAAATACTCGAAGTATTTCTTAGAAATTAACCCTTTCCCTGCCATGTCCCAAAAATATTCAAAATATTTCAAACAGTCAAAATATTTTCGGGAATGAACCCTTTCAGACCTGGATGTGGTTCTCCTGCAGGTTCAGGCAGCGCGTGATTTATAATTTAAATTTAAATATTTTAAATATTTAAATTTAAAAATCTGATAAAATTTTTTATTAATTTAAAAAAAACCCTAAAATTAAAATACTAAAATATGTTCATATTAAAATAAATAAAAACATTAAAATATTGAAAGTGTTTAAAATACCAAAATATTTTAAAAAATCAAAATGTTGGAAATATCAAATTTTTTTAAAATGCAAAAATAAAAAATTATTAAAAATATTACAATTTTTTAAAATACAAGTATATTAAAATATTAAATATTAATTTTAAAAAATACAAAAATATAAAAATACTAAATATATTAAAATATTAAAATATTAAGACTATTTAAAACATGCAAAATGTTAAAAATCGTAAAAAAAAAAACCCTTAAATTCCTAAAACTATTACTGATAGTGCCAGAAATTAACCCTTTCCCTGCCATGCCCCCAGGACACTAAAAATATGAAAAATATTCAAAATATTTTTTCGAATTAACCCTTTCTCCCCTAGTGTGTCCCAAGGAGTTCTCTCTAAAAATACTCAAAATATTAAAATATCCAAATTATTCTCGGGAACGAACCTTTGCCCCCCCCACCCCCCAGCGTGTCCTAAGGAATTCACTCTAAAACTATTTTAAAAATTAAAAATACGAAAAATATCCAAATTATTTTCGGGAATGAACCCTCTCAGACCTGGATGTGGTTCTCCTGCAGGTTCAGGTAGCGCGTGTTGACCGAGATGCTCTGCGGCACCTCCAGCAGCTCGCGCATTGAAATGATTGTAAACATTTATTGAAATTATAATAAAAATATTTATTTAAAATTCTAATTAAAATTTTATTAATAAAAAATTAAAAATTTAAAAATTCAAATACTAAAATATATTCATATTAAAATACTGAAATAAAATATTGCAATATTGAAAATATTTAAAATATAAAAATGTTTTATAAATCAAAATATTAGAAATATTGCCATTTTTAAAAATACAAAAAATATTTAAAAATTTTTAAATAGAAAAATATTATGATATTACATATTAATTTTATAATATAAAATAGAAAATATTAACAATATTAAAATATTAAGAATATAAAGACTATTTAAAATATGCAAAATGTTAAAAATAGTAAAAAAAAAATTTAAATTCCTAAAACTATTACTGATATTGTCAGAAATTAACCCTTTCCCTGCCATGCCTCGAGAACATTAAAAATATGAAAAAATATTCAAAATATTTCTAGAAATTAACCCTTTCCCTCCAGTGTGTCCCAGGAAATTCTTTCTAAAAACATTAAAAATATTCAAAATATTCAAAATATTTTAATGAATGAACCCTCTCAGACCTGGATGTGGTTCTCCTGCAGGTTCAGGTAGCGCGTGTTGACCGAGATGCTCTGCGGCACCTCCAGCAGCTCCCTCCTGGTGCAGATCACCCGGCTGGCCTGGTTGCTGCAGGTGCAGGCGGCCGGGCAGGGGGTGCCCTGGGCGCTGCCCCCCCGCCCCGGGCACGGCGCCCGCGCCCAGCAGCACCCCCAGCACCCCCAGCACCAGGGGGCTCTGGGGGGCGGCGCCGGGGGGCGCCGGGGAGCCCTGAGGGCCATCCTAGGGGCAGCCATGGGCCTGGGGCATCGCCGGCTTCAGCGGCCCGGGAGCTGCTGGGGAGGGAGAAAATGGGGGGTTAGGGGGGATTTGGGGGATGTTTGGGGGTATTTGGGGGGATTTGGGGGTCCCAGGCCATCCTAGGGGCAGCCATGGGCCTGGGGCATCGCCGGCTTCAGCGGCCCGGGAGCTGCTGGGGGCAGAGAAAATGGGGGGTTAGGGGGGATTTGGGGGGGTTTTGGAGGGGTTTTGGGGGGTTTTGGGGGGATTTGGGGGTGTTTGGGGGTCCCAGGCCACCCTAGGGGCAGCCATGGGCCGGGGGCATCGCCGGCTTCAGCGGCCCGGGAGCTGCTGGGGGGGACAGAAAACGGGGGGTTAGGGGAGATTTGGGGGTCCCGAGTGTGAGATTTGGGGATTTGGGGGTCCCAGGCCATCCTAGGGGCAGCCATGGGCCTGGGGCATCGCCGGCTTCAGCGGCCCGGGAGCTGCTGGGGAGGGAGAAAATGGGGGGTTAGGGGGGATTTGGGGGGGTTTTGGAGGGGTTTTGGGGGATTTGGGGGACTTTGGGGGATGTTTGGGGGGACTTTGGGGGGATTTGGGGGTCCCAGGCCATCCTAGGGGCAGCCATGGGCCTGGGGCATCGCCAGCTTCAGCGGCCCGGGAGCTGCGGGGGCAGAGAAAACGGGGGGTTAGGGGGGGTTTGGGGGTCTCCTAGAGGGTGCTAAGTGGGAGATTTGGGGGTCTTGGGGGGTTTGGAGGGCCCTAAGTGGGGGATTTGGGGGTTAGGGGGGGTCTGGGTCTCCTAGAGGGTTCTAAGTGGGAGATTTGGGGATGTCATGGGGGTCCTATGGGGGGCATTTTGGGTGTCTGGGGGGGTTTTGGGGGCCCTAAGTGGGAGATCTGGGGGTCTGGGGCCTTCTAGAGGATTTCAAGCGGGCGATTTGGGGTCTGGGAGGGGTTTGGGAGGTCCCAGGTAAGAGATCTGGGTGTCCAGGGGGTCCTAGAGGGTCCTAAGTGGGAGATCTGGGGGTTATGAAGGGTTTGAGGGGGGATTTTCGGGGTCCCGAGTGGGAGATTTGGGGGTCCCGAGTGTGAGATTTGGGGGTGTTTGGGGGTCCCAGGCCATCCTAGGGGCAGCCATGGGCCGGGGGCATCGCTGGCTTCAGCGGCCCGGGAGCTGCAGGGGGGGACAGAAAACGGGGGGTTAGGGGGGGTTTGGGGGATGTTTGGGGGGTTTTGGGGGATTTTGGGGGGACTTTGGGGGGGTTTTGGGGGGACTTTGGGGGTGTTTGGGGTCCCAGTCCACCCTAGGGGCAGCCATGGGCCGGGGGCATCGCCGGCTTCAGCGGCCCGGGAGCTGCTGGGGGCAGAGAAAATGGGGGGTTAGGGGGGATTTGGGGGGGTTTTGGAGGGTTTTGGGGGGTTTTGGGGGGATTTGGGAGTGTTTGGGGGTCCCAGGCCATCCTAGGGGCAGCCATGGGCCTGGGGCATCGCCGGCTTCAGCGGCCCGGGAGCTGCTGGGGAGGGAGAAAACGGGGGGTTAGGGGGGGTTTGGGGAGATTTTGGGGGTCCCAAGTGGGAGATTTGGGGGTCTGGGAGGTGTTGGGGGGTCCTGAGAGTGAGATTTGGGGTCTGGGGTCTCCTAGAGGGTTCTAAATGGGAGATTTGGGGGTGTTTGGAGGGGTTTGGGGGGGCCCCAAGTGGGAGATTTGGGGGTATGGGGGGGGTTTAGGAGGTCCTGAGTGGGAGGTTTGGGTGTTGGGGGGTTTTGGAAGGTCCCAAATGGGAGATTTGGGGGTCTGGGAGGATCTAGAGGGGAGATTTGGGGGTCTGGGTCTCCTGGAGGGTTCTAAGTGGGAGATTTGGGGGATCTGGGGTCCTCTTAGAGGGTCCAAATGGGAGATTTGAGGATGTTAGGGAGGGTTTTGAGGGTCTTAAGTGAGAGATCTGGGGGTTATGAGAGGTTCTGGGGGGGTCTGGGGTCTCCTAGAGGGTCCCAAGGGGGGGGTTTGGGGGTGTTTGGGGTCCCAGGCCATCCTAGGGGCAGCCATGGGCCTGGGCATCGCCGGCTTCAGCGGCCCGGGAGCTGCTGGGGAGGGAGAAAACGGGGGGTTAGGGGGGGTTTGGGGGATGTTTGGGGGGGTTTTGGGGGATTGGGGGGACTTTGGGGGGGTTTTGGGGGGACTGTGGGGGTGTTTGGGGGTCCCAGGCCATCCTAGGGGCAGCCATGGGCCTGGGGCATCGCCGGCTTCAGCGGCGCCGGCTTCAGCGGCCCGGGAGCTGCGGGGGCAGAGAAAACGGGGGGGTTAGGGGGGGTTTGGGGGTCTCCTAGAGGGTGCTAAGTGGGAGATTTGGGGGTCTTGGGGGGTTTGGAGGGCCCTAAGTGGGGGATTTGGGGGTTAGGGGGGGGGTCTGGGGTCTCCTAGAGGGTTCTAAGTGGGAGATTTGGGGATGTCATGGGGGTCCTATGGGGGGCATTTTGGGTGTCTGGGGGGGTTTTGGGGGTCCCAAGTGGGAGATCTGGGGAGTCTGGGGTCTCCTAGAGGGTCCCAAGTGGGAGATTTGGGGGTTAGAGGGGAAATTGGGGGGCCCTAAGTGGGAGATCTGGGGGTCTGGGGCCTTCTAGAGGATTTCAAGCGGGCGATTTGGGGGTCTGGGAGGGGTTTGGGAGGTCCCAGGTAAGAGATCTGGGGTGTCCAGGGGGTCCTAGAGGGTCCTAAGTGGGAGATCTGGGGGTTATGAAGGGTTTGAGGGGGGATTTTCGGGGTCCCGAGTGGGAGATTTGGGGGTCCCGAGTGTGAGATTTGGGGGTGTTTGGGGGTCCCCAGGCCACCCTAGGGGCAGCCATGGGCCAGGGGCATCGCCGGCTTCAGCGGCCCG